CTGTTAACCTCAACTGTTCCCAACCTCTTTCTATTCTTCCTCCAGTACTAGGAGTAACTGACTTTGTACCCTTTGGTGCTCAGCAAAGGGCTCTCCCAAGCAGGCCTGTGCTGGAGCAGGTCTCCTGGAGTGATTGCCTTGGACCCAGCCCATACAGACCGGGATCTACCCACTTTTATCAGAGGATGCTGCAGCTCTAAGTCAGCTCTCACCCTAGGCTCCCTTCCTCATTGACCAGCAGAACCCGCCCTTATCTGGGCCTGGTAATGCAGGTGCTTCCTGCAGTCATTATATCCAGATTGTCTTAGTCTCCCCTTTTCGCTCTTTCAACTGGCTCCACATCTGTGTAACTGATTCCTTATATGAAATTCCTCGCTTAAAATTCCTAGTGTGCTTTTTTTTCTCTTTACCAAATCCTAACTCTAAATAGCTTAACATTTCTAATCAGAGCAGGCTATTTGTTGTGGTTGTCAGTAACAAAGAGGGTTTTTTAAAAAGTTATTGTTTGAGAATTTTCTTACTGGCTATAATTACTCTATTTCAAGATCAATACAAAATAATGAATTTATGTTAAGAGTTTTTTTACTAGCAATCCAAAAGAAAATGAGAGAAAATGAGAGAGACTATCTGTTTGTGAATGATCCTATCAGTTTTGACTAATGTTCAATGACATCCAAAGAGTACAAAGGCATCCAAAATTGTTGACTTGGAAAAGAAAAGTACTTTTAAGATTATTCATCTATGAAGACTACTATCCTATAATTTGACCTTCTTAGTATGCTCTTCTAGGTAATCAATAATATTTTTTAAAAAGACATTGACTGATAAGGAAAACTCTATGGAGAAATCTATTTTAGATCTAAACTTCAACTAAAGGAGTGTTTTTATCCTTACTCAACTTTCCTCTACAAACCACACAGGTCCTCAGAAGGCAGTGAACAAAGTAAAGCAAATAGGAACTCTGCACTTGTTTATTTCAATTTTTAAAAATCCATCTCATGGTAAAATCTCTAGGTACAAAAAAAACATGTTTAAAAGAAAAGTTTGTCTTTAGAAAAATATCAAAATTTTAAATGGGCATCAGAGACAACAATAAATAGAAACTAATTGGCCAGAATGGATGTTTTCTAAATCAGAAAAGCTGGACATTTAAATATTCTGAAAGCATAATGGTCAAGATTTGAAAACAAGCCTTGTCTTCTCTAGGTTTCCTCAATGAGTTAAACAATGAACAAAGAAACATATAGTACATCTGTCTGAGTCATAATATAAATATGAATTGATAAATACCACCCATTTAGTCAATGAGTAAAATTATACCATTAATTCATAAAATTTTATAAATCATAGCAACTACTCTATTTTAGAAATTACTTGTAATTCATTCATACTTCTTTCTAACAATAACTACCTCCAAAAATAATTTTTAAAAGGGCTCTGGACAATATGCTGAATAAATAAAATATTAAACCAAGATGTACTAAATATACATGTACACACTGATGATCATTTATGAGTGAATAAATGGTTTACATTTGTAACTGTATAAGTTACATGCTTTATAAATATGTTTTATTGGCAATAGTGAAATAAGCCTTGGAGGGAGAGGCAGAAGACTTGCTTATATTCCTGACTCCATCAACATCATGCTGTATCATCTGGGTCAAGTCACTTCATGCCTTATTCCCTCCACCTGTAAAATGAGGGATAATAATATCTGCCTTTACTTGCTTACAGCTAAGATAGTGACTATAAAAACAAAGCTGTGGGAGAAAGATGTTATATACATGTATTAAATTTCAATTTTTTACCCAAAGGAAAAAATCTTAAGACAAAAGTTGAGACATGCTTGGCTTACTGACCTTCAGCAGGGCAGATAGGTATAAAAGGACAAACATGGTTTCTAAAAGGAAACAATCAGACTTCACTAACTACTACACTTGCGACCTTGGGCAACTCTAGTATACATAAACTCTCTAACCTTGAGTTTCCTTACCTATGAAACATGAACATTTATCTCTTAAGGCTTGTATGAGCATTAAATGAAGAAAAATATGTCAACTACCTAGCACAGTGCATTATGCATTAAAAAAAAATGTTAGTTTCTTTGCCCTAAACTTTATGGGTGCATTGAAGACCATATTTATACTTTCAAATTTGATTTCAAGAAAAGTTATAAAGCACATGAAATGGGCTCTTCTCCCTCCAAAAATAATTCATATATATATTTTTTAATTCTTTTTGGTAGCTCTTTTCTCTGTTAAGGTATAAAGTGACAAATTAAGAGTCAGCTGTATTCACAGACTACATTCAACTTTACTACAAAAATCAAACATATAAGAGATCCCTTTAACTGCCTACATACACCATTCCTAGCAATGTATCTCCCATTTTCAGTGTTAAGCCTATGAAAGAGTACAAAGAGCCCTCTTTCATTTCCCTCTGGTCAGTAGCCATACAAGAGGAATTTTCAGTTATATCAAATCCACAGTGATTTCAAAGCTGAAGAAGAAAGTAGGATGGAAAATAGTTGAGGACTATCGCTAGATACAACTGACTTTCTTCTGTGGACATGATACATTCCTTTAATTTAACAAGCAAACAAAACAAAAAACCTACTCTCATGAAAGTTAAACCCCAAATATTATAGTAACTTTATTAGAAATCAATTCAGTACTAAATCTCTAGTCAAATTATATTAAGCAAAAAGTATCATCTGTGAAAAAGGAGATGGGGTGTTTCCAGGGATGAGGGAATTTCTACAGTTCACCCATAGCAAATACTATTAATTATAAGATATATCCAGTATGTACTCAGAACCCAGCAGCTGAATCCACAAGGGTTTAGCAAGCAAAAATTTTGGCACAAAAAGTAGAATAACATTTACTCAAGAATAAAACTGGAGCCATATTTAGCAGTCTAAAACTTTCTAAACCAAGAAAAAAAAATGATCATGAAGGAGGTTCCTATAATCATCTGGTTTGCTTTCTAGACAAGGTTGAACTGAATGCTTTTGAAGCAAAAAAAATGATCAAACAAAAAAAATTTTTAGTACAGGCTCTGGAAATCAGCCACATTTACTCTGGATGAAACTCTTTCTGACAGTTTTTTTAAAAGGGTGGGGGGCAGGTCTGTTTATCATTGCTTTCACTTAAAAACCATTAATCACTAAGGGTGGTACAGGTACCAAACAGAATTTTGCTTCCTTTCTAAATATACACAATTTCCTATAAAGTACAGCACATTTTGCTGTTCATGGTGAATTTTTTTATGTTTTTGCAACAGCATTTTTCTTCCTCTCCAAAACAACCTCATTCCTAGTCTGCTGTTTCTGTTTGCCTCATCTGCACTTAGCAGATCACGCTTCAGTGACTTAGAAATCCCAGCCACCAAAATTCAAGCCAAAGTCTGAATTCAGACGGAGAAGGGGGAATGAAATCAAGTAATTAAACTACACTTGGAAGGGAGAATGATTTTACCTCCCATGACTTTACACTGTGCACTTTTAATTCAGAACCAGCGTCTTCAAGTTTAAGGAGAAAAAAAGTTATGAATTTTTTTTTACTTTAATTTTTTTTTATTGTGATAAAATATACATAACATAAAACTTACCATTTTAACCATTTTTAAGTGTACAATTCAGTGGTATCAAGTACATTCACAATGTGGCGCAGCCATCACTACTATCTCCAGAACTTTTTCATTGTCTCAGATAGAAACTCTGCACCCTTTAAACAATAACTCCCTTTATTCTCTCCCCCAGCCCCTGGTAACCACCATTTACTTTCTGCCTGTATGAATTTGCTTAGTATGAATTTATTTTTAATTTAAGAAATTACTTTGTAAATATTATAGTTCTCTTCCTTATCTTCCAATTTTAAGTTCTGGTAATGACACAAAACCGTGAAGACAATTCCACATGTTAACACTGGATTCTTCAGGTAAAATAGTTCAGTGCTCTGGGAAGTTTCATTACTAGGGTCTTATTCAAATTGTAGCAAGTTATCATATACTTAATTTCAAAACCAAAAGGGAGAAAAAAGAATGCAGTAAAGTTGGAGATAAAGCCTGTACAGTTAGATAATAACCACGCTCTGGGGCTATTGAGCCACGTCTCGTTTTCTTACTACCAATGGTTTAAAGCAGGGGTGTCAAACTCAATTAAAACATGGGCCATTTGGTGCAACAGGCAAGATTCACGCGGGCCCCATTACATTTACAAATTTTGTTAAATTTATATTCTAAAGTGAGGATTCAGGAATATGGATAAGATAATTAAAACACTATATAATTGCTTTTATTTAGACATTTATTTTATTTAAGGTATTTATAAAACTAAAATTATTCTTTTTTACCCGAGTGCTCTTTTTAACCTTTTCGCTATTGGGATCTGTTTACATTACGTGACACTGAGAGTGGCAGACATATCGCTTCCAAATGGCGCCGGAACTGAGTCAGCGTATTTATACACGCCCACAGGCCTCCAGGAAAGGCACTGGGCCACGTGTATACTCATCTTCAGTAATTAAAGGGTTAACGAGGGAATTGTGTGTACGGTATTGCCTCGATCTCCCCTAAGCGCTATTTTCTTCAAAACAATTTTTTCTATTTTCATTTTATTTCAGAGCATCGCGGGCCACAAAAAATTACCTCAAGGGCTACATGCGGCCGCCGCCAGTTTGACCCCCCTGGTTTAAAGGATTCAGTTCCTTCCATCTTATGAATCAGAAGGTGACCCTGAAAAGCTTTCTTAAAAATAAAATCAAACCACCTTTAAAAATATTGTCGCCCAATATGAAATAACATTATAAGGGTAAATGTTGGTGATTTAGGAAATTAATATAACTAATAAAAATGTCTAAAAGAATAGTAACTATATTAATGAACTTATACACGAAAGATCAAATGCTCTAACAAAAAGTTAAACAAAAAAAAATAATAAATGTCTCCTTTTTGCTTTGCTAAACTCTCATCTTACCTTTAAGCACCTTATAACATACCTTTGTAGAATGCCATTTTCCTGGGGTATTACACCATTGATAGCTGCCTGCAAACAGAAAACAGAGAAGGCCAATTAAAAACAAAAACAAAAACAGAAAAATGCTCAAGGGTGAGTTCAGGTGGGGTGGAAAACTATCAACGGAAGTAAGTATACTTTGAAAACATTTTTTTAATTCTAAATGTTTGCTTAATGACACAAAATGTTATCTGGTATATGTTTCTCTATTTCTATATAATAAAACCATATTTTAGAAAATTTTAAAAACATGTATTTGGCATAATAATGTCCCCAAATCTTGAATCATAAAAAGCTTAGTTCCACAATCCTCATTGAAGCAAATTACCCACAAAACCAATGTTTAAGGATGTCAAAACAAGTAAAATCAAGTACCTTAATCTTTTTAGTATTATTTCCTTCCTCAGATTAAGAAGAGCAAGATACGAAATCACAAATGAAAAACTCTAATAAGAATATTTGGAGTTAGCTCAGGAGTTAAGTTCACTCTTTCATGTTATAATCATTATTCTTTGTGAAAAGAGTATTTAGAAGGAAAAAAAACATAGGGGCAAAACTTCTTTTGATAAACACAACACCACGATTTTATCAGGTTACAAAAAGGAGGCAGGAGCATCACTGGGGAAGTTTCCTTAGATAAAACATTCCTAAAATTGGCCTCTAAGCTAAGAAGTCACCAATTACTTAGAACACAGCATAAGTGTGACATGGTATGGACATTTTTTTGTTTTTTGTTTTTTTTTAAGGTTTTGTTGGGGAATTAAGGGGAGGGGAAGGGGAACAGACAGGTAGACAAATTGCTGTTTTGTTCTTCAGTCTAGTTGTGGAGGGCGTCGCTTCACTGGCCCATGTTGGCATGATCATTGTGCTCTTCCCTGGTGAGGCGATCAGTCTCCGGTCATTGATCAGCCGCTCACAGCAGCTCCTGCCAGCCTACACCGTCGCCAGCGACTCACAGCAGCCCAGCTCCAGGTTGAGCTGTTGTTCATCATCTTAGCTGTAGAGGGCGAGCATCACTGGCCCTCAATGTGAGATCCGAACCGCAGTCCTGCTACTCAGAGCTGGGGCTCTCTAGCAAGCTCTTAACCAGCTGAGCCACTCGGCCGGCCCAGGATGGGCATTTTTGAAAACCACTGAGAAGGCAGGCTGTTACAGCCTAGATTGTGGGCAGTTCACTGCAGGTTAATAGAAAAGGTTCTCTGGAGGAAAATAATGTCCTTTCCAACTTTGTCTTTGTATCATAACAACTTACTCCCTCAACTTCCCCATCCACATCCACATCAAAATGGAAAAAAAAGAAAAGCTAACCTTCGATGTTTTATCAGCTGCCTGGAGATCAATTGCAAAAAGGAGTTTGTGTATTTTGTGAAACGTTAACTTAAATATTTGCCAGAGGTAGGTGAAGTTTACAAGGTTATACTGTTGAATGGAAATACAGTGTAAGATGCTTGCAATGATTTCTGAGAGCTATAATGCTCTACTGGCGAAAAACAAAGAAACCCACAGATTAGTAAGACAGTGGATACCACAGAACCCTAACGACTCTGGAGGCTCAATCAATTCTTTGCGTCCAGCAAATGCTAAAACTGGTTTTCAAAGCTATAAATTCAATGGAAGCATCTCTGCCTCATGCCAGGTCAGTTATCCCTTTTCTGTTGACAGCAGTACTTCCCACATACAAATATCTGATTTGCTAAAAAATTGAAAATGGTAAGAGAATGTTCTATGGTGTTGGAAAAGGAACAAAATACCATAGCTTGGAAAGATTTTGCTCAAATTTTCACTAGGGAATGCCAAGGTATAATGGAAAGAACACTGAAGATTTAAATAGTCCAAAGTTTGAATCCAGACTCTCCATTTATTAACTTGATGACCTTAGTAGTATATTCTATATTCACTGAACCTCCTTGAGCCGCAGGCTCTTCATCTGTATAATGATTTCATACTACAACCTCAGCCAAAATGGGCCTGCCATTTTGTTCCTCGAAGGCATCAAGCTCTTGTATTTCTTAGGGCCTTTGAGGATACTGTGTCTGCTTGCAATGCATGTTCCCCATTCTTGGTCTGGCTAAATCTTAATCATCATAATTAAGGTTTTTGTCAGACACACTTTTAAAAAATAATTTTTCTCTGATCAACCCCCATTTAAGTAGGTTTACTCTCACATAGAACCTTGTACTTTTCTTCATATAATTGAGTATTACTCATTTGGTGATCATTTGTTTTATGTGTGCCTTTCTCACTAGGCTCCATGACAGAAAATGTTATCAAGTTTGTTCACTACTTAAGCCCAGTTGCCTAGCACAATGCCAGCACATACATGGCACTTCAACTATTATTTGTTAAATGAATGATGCTAGAGGAGTACAAAGGAAAGCCACACTGCCAAGATTTGAGGACGACTCAGAGAAAGCTTCCTAGATGAAATTATGTCTCAACTGAGACTAAAGAAAGGATAAGTAAAAAGTAGTACTAATCTTGGTAGATGTATGTTTTTATTTCTACTGGGTAAATTCCTGAGAGTGGAATTGTGGGCTTATATGATAAGTGTGTCTTTAACTGTCAAACTATTTCCAATGCAGTTGTGCCATTAAACATTTCCATTATCAATGTATGAGAGTTCCAGTCCTTCAGATCCTCACCGTCATTTGGTGGTGTCAATCTTTTTAATTTCAGTCATTTTAGTGTGTTTGAAGAGGATTTCTTTGTGGTTCTCTTTTTAAAAATTAACTTCACTGATGATCAAATGAACCCATTTTAAGTGTACAATTTGATGAGTTTTAACACATGTATACACCTATGGAACCATCACAGGCATCGTCCATCATTTTCCCTATAGATCCTTCCCTATCGTTCCCCACCCATCCCAAGAAATTCTTGGTCTGCCTTCTTTAACTAGAGATTAATCTTTTCTCGAGTTTCATATACACAAAATCATATAGTATTTTCTCTTGTGTCTGACTTCATTCATTTAGCATGTTTTTGAGATGCACCCATGTAGCTGAAATGTATCTATAGTTTGTTCTGTTTTACTGCTGAGTAGTATTCCATTGTATCCAGTGGTATGCCCAAAACAATACTTGCCTGTTGTTAGGCATGTGGGTTGCTTCCAGTTATTGGGTATTGTAAATAAAGCTGTTATGAATATTATAGTACACAGTATTTGTTTTGGGCATATGTTTTCATTTCTTTAGATAAATACTTAAGAGTAGAATTGCTAGGTTATATGTTTACCTTTATGCAAAACTACCAAACAGTGTGATTTTGGCCATATTCACTTGACTACTCTAAGACACAGTTTCCTTATCTGTAAAATAAAGGTAGTAATACCAATTTAGTTCACAAGGTTATTATAAAGATTTAAATGAGATAATACAAAGTACTCTACAAATGATAGCCACAATAACTATCCACCCCATTACACAGTGTTTTCCTTTTAATATATTTTGTTACCAGTGGTGCATAAATGTCTGCCTCATGCTGGGTTAGAAATCCAGATATACTTACATCTTTTTCTTAATGATTCAATTTCAGGTGGTCTAGAATGGGGCCCAGAAATCTCCTCCCCTCCGACCCCAAACTCCTCAAGGGATTCTGATTGACAACCAGGTTTGGGAACAACCATAAATAGTTTATAGGATACATTTTAGAGATCTATATAAAATCCTTTACTCTGTCATTACATACAGAATCTATTATTTTCCCCTAAATCCTTTATTATTTCAGAAGTTACTTAACATCCAAAGGCATAGATCTTTCATAAACTCATGTTATTAAATATGCACAAAGTGAGAACTATCAAGCCAGAAAGCTGTTGTATCCCAGCTCCATCATTTACTAGTTGTGTAATCTTGAGACAGTTAATTTCTTTCTGCTTCAGTTCTATCTTCAATAAAATGAGGGTGATAAAAGCACTTGTGCATTGGGTTTTTATGAAACATGTTAACACATATAAAGTACTTAGTGTTTGATACATAGTAAACTACTCAATAAAAGTGAGCTGCTTTTATTCTAACTATTGCCATACTGAAATTCATCCTTGTTTGAAATCACAAATAGTTTTTAATCACAAACTTTTGAAGACAAAGAATGGACAATATAAAAAAATAGAAATGTTTCCACTTACAATTATCAATTGCAGACAACTTATTTCTAAAGATGTTTTCTCTCTTTACTATTTAGATAATGATCTAACATCTCAAAATATTCTATCAGTTACAGATAGGATGATGAGACCAAAGCAGAAGAAAAGTGAGTAGTTTAACAGCCCTACAGCTAACCCTAAACTTAAATTTCTTTTTATTAACCCAGCTGTTTACTTTTGCAGTTGAAAAGAATTCCAAATGGCAATCCTAAAGTATCTCCTAACGGCCAAATATTTGATTTTAATAAGTTCTAATTTAATTTTTTTTTCAGGGAAAGAAAACAGAAAGCAGAACAATTTAAGAAATGTAACCATTCCACAATCTGTTCTTAGACAAATGCAAAAAATGTTCACTGAATCCTTCCAAGTAGTTACCACGATTAAAACAGCCCAACATGTAGAATCAAAACTACTGCAAACCAAGGGCCAGCTGAATGGCTCAGTTGGTTAAGAGCTCGCTCAAGAGTTTGAGCTCTGAGCAACAGGGTCCCCGGTTTGATTCACGGCCCGAGCTGAGCTGCCGCTGAGCTTCCAACAGGTGGCAGGATGGCTCAGCTAAAAAAAAAAAAAAAAAACTACTGCAAACCAAATTAAAGACAAAAGAATATGAGGCAGATCCTAAGACTAATAATGGTACCTAACAGACTATCCCTTGTCAAATATCTATGAATGAAAAACCAAACAGCAAACTGGGAGAACCACATAAAAAACCTCAGTGCTACACCAACAAATCCTCTGAGTGCTTTAAAGGACATCGAGTCCAAATTCCTTAGCCTGCTAACCAAGGCTCCCACCTTCTTTTCTGGCCTTTTCTCAGGTTTCTCCTAGAAGAATCTTCCCCAGTCAAATTGTTCGACACACTGACTTCAGAATACCTTGTGCTTCC